GCGGAATTGCGCCCAACGCTGTGACCGATGACCAAATTACGTCAGAAATTCAGGCGATTGTCGAACGTGTTATAAACGACACACTTCCCGACATAGATATGCTTTTTGGTAAGAAGCTGCGTCTTAACATGTCTGAAACAGACGTGAACGAGCGCGTGCTGCAGTACTTCACGCTTTGCAACGAACTGATCGAAGAACACGGTCTAGTGACCTGTTTTGAAGGTCAGCACGGTCAAAAAGAGAAGTGTAAACTGCTTATTGAGTCACTGACGCCCAGTGAGCTCAAAGCAGATGTGCAAACTGCTATTCGTTTCCAATCGACGGAGGCGCGTAGTGACGAGTTAAAACTCCATGACCTGATCTTGGAAAAGGCGTTGGAGCAGGATCGCGACTTTCGCCGTCGCAAACGTTCACGCAACGAGGAGAGGTTCGCTAGGTCTGAGAAGGTGCCCAAGCTCCAGGATCATAAGAGTTTGAGTGACCAGCATGGCCGTCGCCAGCGTGGCACACATGAATCTAAGGGCGGGGATGTCAATCGAGCGACACGATCTGTAGTAAACCAGGACTCAGAGAAGAAGCGACCTCTCGTACCAAAAGACGGATGTCTTAAATGCAGTGGGCCACACTATGTGTCGAATTGCCCAACTGCGTCTCCAGAGGAGAAGAAGGAATTACCGAAGAAGTTTCATACCTCTCGCCATGACAAGAGCAGGATGAAGCGGATTAAGAAGCGTCTGGGTGGAGTGAACACCATCACGCTGAACGACGTGTATGACCTGCAGTACTGTGCGGATACAGGCTCGGACAGGTGCCTGTTGAGTATGGATATTAAAATCCAAATACCGGTAAGTATAAAAACTGCGAAAGTTCTATTAAACACGGTACATTAACAGTAAACACCAAACAACCTACTGTACTACATATCCGCTGCAAATTCTTCGTCAATCTCAGCGCGAAGTAGCTCCTCTGTGCGACGTCCGGCATGTGCAACCACGGAAGGCTCCTTGAGAAAGAGAACACAGCTCGGTAGCGCAAGGATCAGAGCCTGGAGGAGGCTCTCGTTCACAGCCTCAAAGGCTCCGTCGTGTTCGACGATCCAGCACCATGGTACGTCCTTCTTAAGGAGTAATTGGCTAAGCCTAGCCACTTGCGTAAGTCTTTTGGTTCTTGGGAACCGGCCAGTCCACGATGGCCTTGACTTTGGCAGGATCTGCCCGTAAGCCACGCTTCCCAACGAAGCACCCGAGGAAAGGTATCTCCTCCGCGCCAAAGACGCACTTGTCCAAGCTGACATACACCTTATTAGTGCGCATGCACTCGAGCACCGCTCGCAAGTGGTCAATGTGGTTATCCACGTCTGACTTTCCGTGCTCGGCACGACTATGGACGAATATATCGTCAAAGTACGTTTGAGCGTACGCCCGGTGGGGCCTAAACAGCTGCGTCACAAGACGATTGAACGTTGCTGGTGCGTTCGACAGCCCCTGGGGCATCACCAGCCACTCCCAGAGCATACCGCTCGGAGTACTCACCGCTGTCAGCGGAATGTCGCTCGCTCTCATGAGCAATTGGTAGTAGCCATCGACCAAGTCGAGCGCGCTGTACAGCGTACAGCCTACCATGTTGTTCTGCAGAACATCCTTGCGAGGAATCGGCGTTTGCGCCGGGATAGTGGCCGCATTTAGCTTGTTAAAAGCATGAACAATGCGCAGACTACCCTCGGCTAGTGGAAGTACCGTTCAGCTCATCACGTAAGATGATGGTCACAGTGAACGCCCTACCTGTGGTGAATGGCATGGCGATGTTCGATACGTTGGCGCTTCCAGGTGACCAGCCGCCCAAGCTGGTGGCGAACGTGAAGGGCGCACCGAACTACATTTTACGCAACTGCACCCAGTACGGCCGGAAGGATGGCACGTTCGAGACGTTGAACAACGTGCAGCGTCAGGAGATTCTCGAGGCGGTGGACGCGCTATCGTCGCAGGCGCTGCGTGTTCTTGCTGTGGCTATCCAGCCGATGCACGAATTGCCGTTCGGGGAAGACTGCGACGATGTGGACGAGAAGTTTGAAGCCTTGTCCCAACCCCTGGGGTGGTTTTCCCCCAAAGTGGGGGCTTCTATCACCCGGAAGGGGACGGCGTGCCCATGCCATTGCCACTGCACGAGCGCTTCCATCGTAGGTGATGATCACGGTGATACTCGCTACGGTGTTGCCATGCCAGAACATGATTGCTACCAGTGGGCGCGACCCGAGTCAGCAACGATGCACCAGCTCTCCGAATGGAGATGTCACTGCCCCCGTGACTCACAA